GCCGGGGCGTTGGACAAGTAGAACTGCGAATAATTTTATCAAATCTTATGCTCCGTAATGGTGCCCTTTATGTTGTGAAGACTAGTACTTCAAAAAGGGTAACTTTTGAGGCAAGACAGGGTGTCCTCAACAAGTTAAGGGAACAGGATGCACTAAATGTCCACAACAGGTACAGCAAAACATCACATAGACGCCCTTATTCACACTAACTACTCAGGGGATAGAAGGTCAAGAAGAGCCACCGCCGCCAACTAAAGCTTGAACCGGGTACCTGGGACTCCCACGATATACCCGCGGCAATGGTCAGCAGACGATGCCCTGTGCGTATTTAGTATGTAATATGTTTTATTTGGATACACAAAATGTTTGAAGCCATGCGTCATCTAAACCATAATTTGCATCACCACAAATACACTTGTCAACAATCTTCAACTGGAACGTAATCACTAAATCACTTCACCCGGGAGCGCATTCCCGATGCTTCCACGCATATTTTTTTTTCCCTCCACTCCAACAACCAAATATCACTTTTCTTCACTTTTCTTTTTCAAGTCACTCCGTGCACAAAAGCAATGCACATCGCAAAACCCTGACAATAGATCAGCGCACTTCTCATCACCGCGTAAATAAACAGAAATTAAAATTTTCACTCGCGATGTCACAAATTTTTACTCAAACTGTAATGATAATGATACCAAAATATTCGATGTATTTTAGAAGTGATGTAAATAAAAAAATAGAAAGTAAGTGTATTACAATGAAAATAAATTATGTATCATCTGTCCATAAGGTTTCCGAATAAAAAATAAGGAAAAAAGAGCAGAAAAATGTATTTTATGGATTTAAGTTGAAATTTTAAAATAAAAAAGTAGTCGGGATTCACTATTACAAATTGTAATAGCGAACCCCGACTACTTTTCCAATAGGGCCTGTGTAGAAAAGCGCATATAAAATAAACATTTTAATATATTGCAAAAACGGCTTGCTTGATTGCTATGGTGTCTTGCAGAAAGTTGTGCAAAGTTAAAATTCAATTCTAGAAAAAATATACACGGTTAAAAAACATGTGTGACATTTGCATTAAAAATCGTGAAATTTTCAAAAAATCATAACTTTTTTGTTTTTGAGTTTACCATCACTAAACTTTGCCAGTTAGTAGCATACTCTATGAGCTTCAATGAGGCTTAAAACTACTTGAGTACTTTTTGAGAAATTAACTTTTTTAATAATAAATATATTTTTTTTCATTGAAACAAACACAATTTTTTACAGTGTCTATTTTTTACACAATTGCCAAAATAATATCTACAACTTTGCTGAGAACACCAAATCAATCGAACAAAGCGTTTCGGCAATATATATTTTTAAACTCATTAGTACTATTTTTACACAGGCCCTTTTCAAAAAGTAGTCGTGATTCAATTTGAAGAACTGATAAATCAAATTGGCATCTTTACTAAAAAGGAACAACTGTGCAAAGTTTCAGCTTAATTGGAAATGATCGGTCAGGATCAATTTGCGAACCTTCGTGGAATGCCTCTTGTACGAGTATTCTGTATACGATTTCTGGAGCGAACAGTTATTTCGCGGAAGTAAAAATGGCCTCCAAGCGTCACGACATCATGGTGCACATCAAGGCACTCAAGGACAACACGTTCTACAACTCATTCACGCAGCAAATGGTGCTACGCAATAGTCAAATTGGTGAATAATTAAATAAATAAATGAATTAACAGTGGCTCAGTAAGCAACTTGTTTGTAATCAGAATTGAACAATTTTGGTTGATTTTTCAATAAAAACAAGCTAACCTAACCTGGGGATGTAAAAAAAAATTGATTCTGAAACAATAAAAAATACGTTTCAAGCCAACTAAAAACGTTGATTACTTTAAATAATGCTTCAAGTTGATGCAAGCAAACATTTTTTTCGAATCAATAAAAACCGATGTTCCATTCAATAAACATAGAAGTATTATTTCAACTCAATGTTTTTGTTGAATTACTCCATCAATTTTATTGATCCATATTCTAATCAAAATTTTGTTAAAAATGATACGAATTTTGTTTCGTTGAACTATGTTTTTTCTGCGTGCACTCGGACATGGAGCATAAAGCTAGCTTTTCCTAAGGCCTTAAGGTTGTTTAGTTCACTAGACTTGAAGTGAACTAAATAAAAATCATTAGAAATCCCGTTGCGCGAATCGCCAGGACGGGATTTCATTTTCATTTTGATTACTTGGAGTGGCACAACTCCAAGTAATTTTGCCAGTTCATCTTTGATCTGATCCAGGGATTCACCACTGGGCAGTCCTTTCATGACAACCTTGAACACACGTTCAGTTTTGGTGTCGTAAGTAAAAAATTTATGCTGCTTCTCAGTAAGATACTTGAGAAGACATTTAAATCCGTCCAAGGTTTCAGCCAATACACGGCATTCACCCCGACGTCCAATTTGTAGTGAAAACTTAACTTTCACGAAATTCAAAAGTTCCATGCGAAGAGCATGGAAATCGGAAGTGGTTATCACAATAGGGGGAATCTTTTCCTTCTTGGCATTAAGCTGGGAAAGTTTACTAGAATTTTTCTTGGATGATGGATCATTCTCATCATCCGTGAGCAAATCAAATTGATTACTCAAATTAATTTCATCAGAAGGGGGGTCAAGAGTTTGCCACTTTCTTTTGCGTTTAGGCGCCATGGCGGCAGCAAATTTTTATCCAAATCGACTTCCAAGCAGATTAGTATAAGAATCTAAAGGATCGAAGAGGAATTTTCCAAATCGATATCCAAGAAGGATTACCTCGGGTAGGGTCCAAACAAGGATCGAAGAGGAATGAAAGTTGAACAAGATAGAAAAATTTTTACAGGTTGAGCACTGAAAAGTGCTGTTTAAATTTGTTGTATGCTTTAGGTAGTAGTAACACTTCCTTCAGCAAAAAGATAATAGATCCGCACGGCAAGAGAGCACGATGCGGACTGACTGGAGTTGTTTAGTTTATCAATGTATCTGTATAACAATTTATCACAAGCATTCTTCCAGGTTAATGAGTTTGATGATGATGATAATTCTTCTTAATATTCACATTACAATTATGACCCGATCATGTCACCCTCTTCGCGCATCAGACTGCTATTTTTCAGTAACTCCACATAATTGTGATTTTATATCTTCCTCCTTCAAGATGGATGTTTAAGATACACATACTTTGCTAGCTGACTGCTCTTTTTTCAGCTTTCATTCAGATTGGATCTATTGATTTAAATTATTTAAGCTTTCTTCCAGCTCTTCGATAACGGAACATCATTAGATTTATACTGTAATGATTCACTCTTACAGCTTTTACCCTGGTTTTGTCTGTTGATTTGTTTGGATTGGTTTTCAGCTTTTTGGTGTCGGCAGTCGCGGGCGGTCAATTTTGCTCATGCTCATGCTCTTAGTTCATTTTCAGCTTTTCGATGATGTAACGTCTTCAGATTTATATTAGGGGATCATTTTATTTAGGCTTCAGGCAAATCCAAGTACAAATGCATGATAACACTGATTCATTTAAAACCATGATCGCATCACTTATCAAGGTGAATTCTGATCCAACGAACCCAACTTACTAACAAAATCTCCTTTTCTGTGTCTTTCGTTGGGGTGCAGAGGTAAACACGGCCCACAAACAGCAAAGGTCACTCTAATATCCCTTCCCTACTCCCACCTGATTGCAAGGACGTGGCCGGCGCCGTTTTTGATCTACACAATATGGAGTCACTGAAACTTGTACAATGAGAATGGACGGTCACTTCCAACCCCATTCAGTTGATTCATTGTACAATTTCACTGATTCTGATCAATCACGGAGTAGCCACCATTGATATGTGCAGTCAGTCTAAGCTAAGCTAAGCTAAGCCTTCCATTCTATAGATATCAAGTAGCTCTACTACAACTCCATCCTTTATCGTTCGTAATACTTAACAAATAATGAATCATTGAGATACATTAGAATGCTTTATGTTCATTTGGATAAAAAGAAGACGGTCGTTTGGCAAGGACGTGATCTCATTGTATAACGATATTTTTGTAGACGTTATGCTTCTGATTATCTGTTTATTATATTATAAATATCAAAATTTCGGGATGAGGAGGGACCCAATTGAAGCGATTTGGATGAGGAGAGTGAAAATGTTAGTAACATTTCGTGGATACAAGGCGGACTCTCCTCCCCATTCATTGAAGCATTTTCCTGTTGGATGGCTCGTTTTCTGACCAAGTTGTTGGAAGGATATTCTTAACTGTCCCAAGGAAATAAATAGACGAATTGCCTATCAATCCATCCATTCGTTTTTGGTCCTTCATACAGTGATTTGCTGATGACAATGTTATTAAGCTTGATCATGTTCAACAGTGAGGAGAGCCCACAGCTATTGGACTAGTTTCCGTACTACAATGAATGGTAGACCACTATCATCATCCCAAGCACTCCTAAATTAAGAATTCCGTAAGAGGCTTTGGACCATACACGAATGGCGAACAATGATTAATTTTAGCATCGCTTTAGCCTGAATTCGAGCCATTTACACCATTTCCTAATCATCATTCAATAATCAAGGGAAGCTTAAAGTCCTGTGGACTCCCTTGAGAAGCCCAACTGATATTCTAGTAAAGTCAAAGAAACCATACGAGAAGTCCTATGAACTTCTCCGCGCTCGTTTTGTTTGCATCAAATAAATCCTTTTCTCCAGTTTATTTGTTTCCGAAAGATATTTCAGATGAACCGGTCCGGCATCTGGGAGGGGCCTTAAATGATACAGTTAGATAATTTGATGTTGATCAATTTCAAGCAAACATGTATGGCAAAAAATAAAAAATAAAACAGATAAAGGAAATCACACTATTTGAGAAATTTCCAAATAGATAGAATGACAAATGCAAACCATGATTGAACTGCTTGAAAGAATTAAAAAAAAAAACAATTAATTGTGTACACTGTATTTAGTTATTTGCGTGCTGATTTTTTTTAACTTTATTAAAGTGATTTTCAGCCGTGATCTGCGTGCTGAGATAACAATGGTAACAATGCATTTCACGTATCATCAGCTTTGAACACTAATTTACTCGAATGGCTTGGCTGGCAGTACGACTCCACTGCACGATCCAAAGCCAATTCTCACTTCATCGTTCTGACAGTAACCGCGGATAACGACTTCGTCATTGTCTTGCAAAAATTTTCGACTTTCACCGCCCAGTAGCTGTACCTGCTTGGTACCTTTCCAGCTCAGCTCCAACATCGATCCGAACGAATCCGACGCATCACCACTGATTGTGCCTGATGCCATTAAATCTCCCGGCTTGAGGTTGCACCCGGTAACAGTGTGATGTGCGATTTGTTGCAACGCTGTCCAATACAGGTTTTTATAGTTGGAACGGCAAACTGTTGTCGAGGCACCTTTAGGGGCTGCAGAAGAAATATAGGAGAACATAAATAATGATATTCAAAAAATTTCTATCGCCACCGGCTACAAACCGGTTTGACAACGCGTGGCAGAGCAAGACAAACAAAATTCTTACGTTTGATGTCCACTTCCAGTTTGATGTCGAAATTGAATTTTTGCTCATGTCTCAGGTATGGGAAGGGTTTCGGTTCCTGAGAGAAATTTTCCACTTTAAAAGGTTCCAGAGCCGCGACGGGTACGACCCACGGTGAAATTGATGTTCCAAGATTTTTCGCCGTAAATGGCCCTAATGGCACGTATTCCCATTTCTGAATGTCCCTAGCGCTCCAATCGTTCATGACGACGAATCCAAAAACGCGTTTGGCAGCTTCTTCGGTTGAGACGCGTTCTCCGAGTTCAGTTGGTGGTCCACCGACAAAGAATGCCATTTCCAGTTCAAAGTCAAACAAACGGCATGGTCCAAAGACCGGATCCGCTCCTTCGACTGGTAAAGTCTGACCAAGTGGTCTACGGATTGGTGTCCCGGATACAACCACCGAACTGGCACGACCGTGATATCCCACGGGTATATGCTTCCAGTTTGGCATCAGAGCGTTATCTTTGCCACGGAACATGATGCCAACATTAGTGGCATGGTGGATCGATGAGTAAAAGTCGGTGTAATCTCCAATGCTAGCTGGTAGATGCATTTGAACAGAGGACTGCGGAACTAGCGCAGTTTTCTGCAGATTCGTATTCTTGTGAAGTTCGGAACCCTCCAAAAGAAGATTTTGGGTAATACGACGTACTTCACCCCATGCTTCGTAACCAAGCGACATGAATGGATTCAGAACGGTAGCAGTCAGAGCATCCTGGTAGATAACAAATTCGATTAAACCAATGAACTAAAAAAATAAGTTATGAAACCTACATGATACTGCACGGGATACAAACTTTTCACGGCTCCAAGATCTAAAACATGTTCTCCGATGGCGACTCCCAGGCGGTGTCGAGACTGGTTTTGTGATTAGAAAAAAATGCAATACGTTGACAAAAAAATACTTCTGCTTCAATACTCAACCGTCATCGTTACTTACATCTTCTTGAGTGGAAAAAATGCCATAAGGAAGATTCTGGATTGGAAAATCACTATTCTCAGGGACGAGTACAAAAGACTTCATCTTTTTTAAATTCTTGCAACTGACCAGCAAAATCAGTATCAAAAGCAAATGATAATGAAACCGCAACTTTATGGTCGACAACGCAAACGACGAGAACGACAGAATTAGATGCTGTTTGTTTCAGAGGCAGACTGGAACTGAATAATTTTGGTATGTTTAGTCGTGTTTATCCGGCAACAGGTTGTTGTTTTCTCGCCGGTTTGCGTTCTGGCTAGTATTTGTATAATTTGTACATAGGCATTTGATGCATTATTTGATGTTTTTGTTACTGGATTTATATGCCCACGCTTGGTAGTGTTGATTTTGTATTTATTTGAAGCCAAATCTCTTTAACGCATGGTGTGTGTGGAGGTGGAACCACGCCTAGGCGCTTAATACAAAGGTGACACTCAAGGAAGAAGTGTTAGTTTGTCTACTAAAATGAACTATGACCATTTTGTATGGTAAGTTTTGCTATAAGAAATGCTCCTCGTGTTTCTTCGCGAAATTCATACAAAAAAATTTAGTTTAGCAAGGCATTTGTGACCAGCATACACATTTTTGTCATATGAAACAGGTCCAAACCTGTCCATATTTGTCCGATTTGTCTTGTATTCTCTATGGCAAAATAGTGATTTTTTCATGAACATTAGCGGCAAATAACTCAACACTACACTACACGAAACGAAAATCAATTATTGTATCCATGTGTTTCACTTATACATTTTTGCCATAGCATCAGTCTTATACATTCCATAAGACAAACCACATAGGTCCTATAAGAATGCATAAAAGGTATGTGTGACCGCTTATACATTTCATTTGACACATGATCTTCATTAACTTTTTGCAAGGCGTCTGCTTATTACTTGACTTATACATTTTTATGAATAATCAGCAATAGAAATTTGCCAAAAGGTATAAGGAGTTCTAGCCCACCTGTAATTACTCGCCTTGGTACCACATAGTGGTTGTTGATAAGACTTTTATAGTTTGTGTGCTATGTGGTACGGTACCCGTATAAAAAATCCAATAATAGTACAATGATATTCATGTTTTGTTCCTTATTAGAGATTTGAATAGATTTTTCTCCTTTACTTTACTTAAATCTTTGGACATTATTAGTTAGGTAGGTTCCGATTCAACACGTAGTTTCATTTTTATACCTTTGATCTTGAAATTTTTACCTAGAGGATGAGTGCGTAAGGGGGTTAGGTTTTTGATAAATCGAAATACGAAAGTCGAAGTACGTGAATATCAAAATTAATGAAGTGGAATTAAATGGAATATAACCTTTTTCTTGCTGTTTCGTTTAAGCATTCCACTAACAACCTAATTTCATTACTTCAACATTTTTGTTGATTACCATAAAATCACAACGAAATTCATGGTTTTCGGGGAAATTTACAGAGAAAATATGTTTTTGAAGAGCAAATGTACTGCAAAATGATACCACAACCATGATTTCAAAGAAAAGCCGGTCAAAATGAAAGGTTTAGTTTGGAATAGTATCCAACAAAATTTTAAGTAATTTGATGCTCCTGAATCCACATTTTGCATTTAAAATTATGTATTAAAAATCTAAAAGGGTAGAGCGCTACTTCGTCGTAATCTCCCATTTCCGTTCTAACGATCAATAATATCAATGATTTCACCATGCACAAATCAATAATAGGTTTTAATGATTACAATTGTTCTCAAATAAAAAGAAGCGCTCCTAGCGATTCCCTTTTTTCTACGTTTATCCGTACGACGAAGAAAATCTAATGGCGTTTCAATGCGTTAGGACGGAATTGAAACTCGTAGACGAATTTTGAATAAACTCGTTCAGAAAAGAGATGTAAAGCGCGAGTTGTGCTTAGTATGACGGAAATTAGATCAAAAACCCTATTGTCGATTCACAGAAATCTTAGCATACATCGAAATTGCCCAAAGAATAAGAAGAAACTAACGCAGCTGTCAAACATTCCAAATATTATTAGACGCAACAATTATCATAATCATTATCCCTTCCAATGGCAATCATGTAGCCTGCATGTGGCGAGTCAGCCATTACCCCTCCTTTACTATCGGCCTTGGATTGACTTGCGCTCTTAAGCGCCCATTACACATGTCAATATGTCAATTTTCCTTAAGTGGACCCTACACGATTGCTCTTATTGACAATAATCGTATTGTCAATACAATATTTATTGACGTCAATACATCGAGATTGACAATATTTCTGAATTCAAATCATCAATATTATTGTCAATAATTCCCCTTCGCGTCAATATATTGAAACGTGTGGGGTTTGCTTTAAGCACTTCAAGAACTTCGAGTCTAGTGAACTAAACAACCTTAAAGTGGACCCTACACGGTTGCTTTTATTGACAATAATCGTATTGTCAATACATTCTATATTGACGTCAATACATCGAGATTGACAATATTTCTGAATTCACATCATCAATATTATTGTCAATAATTCCCCTTCGCGTCAATATATTGATGCGTGTGGGGTTTGCTTAAGGCCTTGGAAAAAGCTAGCCTTATGCTCCATGTCCGAGTGAAGTGGGAACACTTCAGGAAGACTGGAGGAAATTTCCCAAACCTCATCCAGTGCCATAAGTGCCAGGGATGGGGTCACGGAACTAAAAATTGCTACATACCAGCTAAATAGATGAATTGTGGTGATTCCTCTCACGCAAAGGACGACTGTCCTGTGAAGGAAGATCCTAAGAAATTTAAATGTTCAAATTGTGGTTAAATCCACAAATCCAATTTTTGGAAATGTAAGACTCGCAAAGCGATCCTACAATCTCGTTCTAAGCGACAGGTAGGAAACGCTCCACGTTTCCGACCAAGTACAAATTCCTCTGCTGTTAACAACGGTCAGCGAGGAACAAATTCTACATTCGTACCTGTAAGTACAAATATCACCCCTGCTTCAAAATCTTCATCTATACCTACTCCCTTCATTGTTAACAACGTTCAGCGAGTAAATGGAGCTACCTATTCTGCTATTGCATCAGGTAGAAAACAAAATACTAATAAATGTAATTCTAACGAAAATATTGACTTAGGAAGCATCACTGCTCCTAAAATGGAATTTTTACAGAAATCATTAATTGACATGATTACTGATATGCTTAAATCTAACTCCATGTTTGATGCTATTCAAATTGGAGTAAAATTTGCGAACAATATTGTCATGACTTTGAAATTCAGCTATGGATTTTAAAGCATTAAATATTTTAAATTGGAATGCTCGATCTCTTAAAGATAATGAAGACGAGCTATTTAATTTTTTGAGAGTTCATAACGTGCATATTGCCGTTATAACTGAAACGTTCCTTAAACCTGACCATATTATTTCATTTATAGAAATAATCGTCTTGATGGAGCCTTTGGTGGCGTTGCCATCATTGTTCATAGACGAATTAAACATAAAATTATTTCTTCATTTGAGACCAAAGTTTTTGCAATTTTGGGAGTTTCTGTTGAAACAAACTTTTTTACGTTTATAGCTGCCTATTTGCCATTCCAATGCGTATTTAGGCCAACAAAAGAATTTTCTCAAGGGTGACCTTCAGAAACTTACCCGTCATAGGTCTAAATTCTTCATTATTGGTGATTTTAATGCAAGACACCGCTCATGGAATAATGCTCAAAGCAATTCCAATGGTAATATTCTGTTTGATTATTGTTATGCAGGTTATTACACTCAAAAAATTCCACACGTTTAATTGAAGTGTTTAAACACTCGATTTTTTAAATGCACAATCACATTTACTTTAAGTGTATTTCACCTTGGTTCAATGTGTTATACACGTTAATTTCTAGTGTTTCAAACATTGAAATGTTGAAATTTTTTCACCATCTATTCAAGTGTATTGCACATTGAATCACACTACTGTTCAAAACAGATGGATTTAAAGTGTTTTACATTTCAATACGATGTGAATTGTTGCTCAGAAAGGTAAACATCGAAAACAAGAGTTGTGACTTTATCCTATCAATCCTCCGTGGCACAGTGAGATCGAACGAAGACTCCGGCAGCAGCACACCCCAACAGTCCATGATCGAATCTCAAATCAGACCCATTAAAAAGACATGTTAAAGCTCTGGCTTCTGGAAGTTTTGTTTATATATTTGTCGATTCATTTTTAGAGTCGGTAAAGTAGAAGTCGATAAAGTAGAATATTGTAGAATATTGAACTATGATGTGCAAAGCTATTGATATCACCATATGAGGAACATAGAATCCAATTGTGTTACAATTCAAATCCATAGTGTTCAGGCATGGTTCATAGCATAAGATTCACACATGAAATGGATGTGTTTCACAATAAGCGCAAAATTAAGTGTGAGACACATGATGATGACGTGTGGAATTTTTTGAGTGTACACTGTTCAATATCCAAACAACCCAACATGCTTTTCTTCAAAGAAGTTCCTCAACTATTAATTTGGTCTTAACTGCTTCATGTCAACTTTGTAGCCAATTGGTTACCCATGCTGACTTCGGCTCTGATCACCTTCCAGGAACTTTTGAAATATCCCAAGAAATAATTTCTAATCCCAACAGTTCTAAAGACTGGCACACGCGAAAATTGGTCGACAAAAAATCGTTTCTTTCAGTCAAAATTCATTTCACAAAAATCTTCTTATTTTTCTTTTGGTAGTTCAATTAATATATTTGAACGAAAAAATGTTCGTTTATTGTTTTGGTTTGCCAAATCCAAAGTGCCGTGCATTCCGATTCATCCCTTCGATTAAATTTTGCACAGTGGTCTCATCGACCTTATTCGCCGCCGAACGCCAGTTGGATTTAAACCACCGACAAACCGACAGGAATGATCATACAAATTACAAAGGAATTTCTGCTCAAAGCACAAGACTGACATCTGCCGCCGTGTTCACGGAAAATGTTTATCCTAGCCACGAACACGCGTACAAAATTTATGAGTTGGTTCGTGTCTAATCTATTTCGGACAAATTATTTTTATCTAGATAAAACATTTCTATGGTTTTGACAGATGAGATCGATGCACATTTGAATTGGCCGGTATGGATTATCGATCAAGAGTTAAGTTTAAGTTTCATGTCGGTTTGTCGGTGTTTAAACTGCTGCTCGTTTTCCATGGATTTATTAGTTTTTTTTTTTTTTTTAGATTCCGTTTGACCGAGCACAGCTGC